AGGTCTCGCCTGCCCAGGTGGGTCTCGAACCCGCAGGCTCAGGCAATCCACTCACTTCAGCCTCCCAAAGGTGCGGGATTACAGGCTGAGCCTCCTAGCCCGGCTCATCCTGTCATCCTCCTAGCCCGGCTCATCCGGTCAGTTTATGACCGAGGCATTTGAGAGATGTCTTTGCACTATTTTTCTCATTTCTTATATTATTCTCTTTCTGGATAATTTAGAACCAGGACACCTGATAAATTTTTTTTTCAGTTTTATGTTCTTTTCTCTTTAAATACTTTATTTCACATAATCCCTTCAATAAATACATAAAGAAGAAATTTTGGGAAGGAAACTATCTAATTATTTCGGTGACACTCACATGCCAAACAGCCTTGACAAGTGACTTTTGTGACTGTCTCCAATATTGCTTAGCTTTGATAAGAAGCTGAGGCTATGCAAAACCAAGATGTCTTTGTGTCAAGATGTCACGTGAGCACAAGCACATTCATAAACCCTCCTTTTTGGGTAAGTTGGATTTACTTTCTTAATTTAATTTCTAATGACAAAAAATCTCAATAACAATGATACAGTTTGCTGAAACAGTATAATTTAAACAGTTTTTAAACCACTTTTAAATATTCTTTATGGAAAAATCTAGACAGGAAATCAAACACCATTTAAACAACACCAACAACAGAGTATTTTGGTTCTTGTTTTTAAATAAGAATCTTTAAGCATTTAGAAATCAAACTGATTGAAGTACCTCTTTGTCCTCCCCCCACTGGAGAATAGTATAGCTTAATGATCACAGGCAAATTCAAAAGAAACAGATGTGCTCATCAAATTCCACAGAAAACTGTAAACACTGTCCCCACGATTTATACTATTAGACATGACTTCTGAAAGTAATAGAGTTCTTAGGAAACTTTTAAAATATAGAAGATTCAAAGATGCTTGATTCAAAGGGAGCAAAAATAAAATGGTTTAGAGTAGAACTAAAAACATAGAAACTATTGTATAAAGAAATCTTAATTTTTTAAAATATATTTCTACAAAGGTGACTATGACCTTCCTGTATATATTTTAATTTTTGGAATAACCAGGAAAACTATTTTGTCCTGTAAAAAATTTAGCATGTTAATTTAATTGACAGGATTGGTGGGGGGAAAAAAAATATTATGCATGTGACATTACTTTTTAAATTGCAAAGTGCTATACTATTTTCGATGACCACAAACATATTTTTATTTTTTTCTTAGAAATATTTTTAAACAGTAAAACAAATTTGACTATACCTTTAAAAAGAATGTGATAAAATATATAACATAAAACTTGCCATTCTAAACATTTTAAAGTGTACATGCCAGTGACATTAATTATATTCACAGTGCTATGCAACGATCACTACAATCTATTTCCAAAATGATTAGATTTTTATCCTTTTTAACAAATTTTTATTTTAAAGATATGGGTACAATTCAGGATTAGGTATACAAATGGTCGTTGTACAGGTAAAGTTGGGTCTCACTTTGGTTCCCACTTCACCTGGTTTGAAATCAGGTATACGTATTGATGAAATATGCCCCAGAATTTTATTCTTAAAATATTATTTAAAATACTATAGGACATACTTTTTCATATATTACAATTAGAGATGTAACTTTATGCTTTCTAATAATTTAAATTGATTTAGTTTTTAAATTAATGAATGACCCTGATTTTATACTGTATTTGAATAGCTTTA